ATGTGGAATACAGGGCTCGTGGATACAAAGATTGAGGCATGTTTTGAATGGGTATAAGTGGGGAACTTATGTTAAGATGATTGACTGTCTGTTGAATCTTGCTTTCCCTTGCCTACTATTGTAAAATAGACACTTGAAGGTTAGAGAAAGGAATGCCCAGAAACATCACCAGAGAAAGCTTGTAAGTCCACCTTCAGCCTATAACTGTTTGGAATAAATAAAATGGGACTAGAACTTGCGAAGTGAAGGAGGTTCCCTGCAGAGCCTTTGCACTGCACAAGACCATAGGTGGAATCCTGATCCTCAACCAGAAACTTCAGAGGTGAGACAGTCCCCCACGTGAAAGGACAAGCAGACCAGTTTGGAGCAGCTAGAAGTACAGAAGATACTTCTTGAAAGAAAGACCAGCAGAAAAAACACACCACACAGCAGTCCAATTGATTACTACAAGAACAAGCAAGTTGTTCCCCAGGGAGCCATCAGGGCAAGTGGTCAGGTACCCTCAAGGCAAACCCCCTTCTAAGACTAAAACTCAAATGGAATACACTAGCAGGCATATGGTCCTGCTGCTGACCACGTTGGTCACCGATAAGGGGAAGAGGAGGAAAAATAGCAATGAAGTTATGAACTAAGTCCAAGCACATTCAATAAACTCCTGTTAATCTGGAATGAGACCTTGTTAACCAGAAGTATGACGAGATCTGGGGACTCCTGGGCCCAGGGGCAGGGACATGGACCCAGAGGACTAGAACAGAGCGTGAAGTAGCTGATATACAGTGAGGGGGGATGAACAAGAATACCCACACTTGCAGACAGTACCCATTTGACCTGGCATCAATGGCTGGATGATAAGAACACAACTACAAGAAGAACAAAGATGGAAAAAAAAAAAGGAGTAACCCACTATAAGTGGATGATCTTGACCTGTGTTTGTGGATGCAGTATGACAAAGGAGCATACAAATTTCTACAGTGAGGATCATTCCCACCCTCTTGGTACACAGGGTTGACAGGGAGGGTAAACTTAGACATCGGCTACCAGCTTTCAATAGGGAACCTAGCTCCAAAGGATACAGGGAAAGAAAGAACCTCCACTGGATTGTTTCCAACCTGTCTGGATGGGGTTGACAAAAGGTGAGGGGAAAGGACTCCTGTGGTTCAACAGGGAATGACTGCTATCAGGTCTGACAGTGAGTATTGGAAAGGTAAATGTTTTTTTTGTTTGGTAACAAAAGGAGGGGAGCAGCTGATTTTGCAGTCCAGGAGCAGAGATCCCTGGAACCATCAAGGGAGAAAAGCTAAGTGTAAGACTGTGTCCAGAGAGGCAGTGACACTAGGGATGGAGGCTGAGGCAATGACATGCACAAAAGGAGCAGCTGGGGATTCTGGACTCAGGGAGGGAGAGGGGTTGTATGCTGGCGGCTGTGGGGCAGAAGTGTTGGGTGTACCCTTTGGGTGTTTAATGATGCATGCAGGGGATTGTGATCATTGCAGTGAAACAAAATAGGATGATTGTAAAGATAATGTTCACCCATGTAAACTAACACATAATTCATAATAAAAACATTTTAAAAAGCATGTAATTTAGAACACAATATGCCTGAATTTACTGATCAATAAACAATGTGCAGCTCTGTAGTAAGTCATCCCTAACTTTCATCCTTGCATCCAAATAATCAGGTAGAATCAACCTTTAAGTCAGAGATAGAATTCAGGTTTGGGATTCTAGGTCTATTTTGAAATACCCTGGACTACTGCCATTTCCAAATACATATATGTGGCAAGTCAGTTTGAAAATCCAAAATAAACAATAGAATGCATTTTCAGGCACCCTGATACAGGCACCCTAATACAGATAGGGAGTTCTGGTATGGCCCTGTCAGATAAGCACTGAATTGCTAACCAAAAGGTCAGCGGTTCAAACTCACCAGGCGTTTCTTGGAAATATACAGGGTAGCTATGAGTCAGAACAGACTCAACGGCACTTAACAATGACAATAATACAGATGGAGATTCTACAGGGCCTTAGAACTAATCTGCTCAGTCAATTGGCCAAGAACCTGTCTAGGCCTGAGGCTCAGATATCTTAGGGACACGTCATGTAAAAACAAGTTCCAGAACCACAGTTTTAGTGAAGCCTTAACATCTAGAAGAAAAATAAAAAGGGATCTTCCCATAATTAAAACCGATTGAAAGACTGTTTAAAAAAAAAAAAACAAAAAAACTTTGAGTAGATATACTCGCCTAAGGATTTCTTTTCAGACAAGAAGGTACAAATTCTTAAGCACATTTTGTATCAGTCATGCAACTGAATTTTATTGACTGGCATTCCTTTGCCATTAACAAGTAACAACTGGCTTCAATAAATTTCTCAATGGCAAGCAATCACAATAATTGCATCCCCTGGGAAACAGGACCTTGTTATACAAGTATTCTGTGAAGAAACAAAATACCTTACGAAGGTAACAATATCTAACATTACTAGTTTACAGATGGATTCCATTTATGAAATCAAACTTGTCATCTTACAATTTCGTTATGAACTACAATAATGATTGACTAAGAAAGTAATCATCATGGAACACCATAAAATTTGAAAATAAAAAACCAGTGACACTATGTTGTATAATAAACATTGTAATAAGGTTGGCAGAAACCCTTTCTATTAGATAAAAACTAAGAAATGAGAGACAGGTCTTGGTTCTGCCCACTACTGTGTGACCTTCAGTTAATCACTTTACTTTTTATCTCAGCTTCTTTTGAGATTGTTACAAGTTAAATAAGAAAAGGGATATAAAACACTTGTTTAGCATTGCGGTGGGTACATAGAAAGTCTCCAAGAAATGTTGGTTGTTGTTTATCAGCGCTTAAGTCCTATATTAGCTAGATGCTACTGGATAATGCACTGGACCACAAGATCAGTTTAAACTGCAAAGCCGGCGGTTCAAATCCACAAGCTGCTCCTTGGAAACCCTAGACAGGGTCACTATGAGTCAGAACTGATTTAACAGCACTTAACAATACCATATATCATGCTAGGTAGTGGAAGGTCAGCAAAAAAAAGACCTCCAATAAGATGGACTGGCACAGTGGGAGCAGCAATGGGCTCAAGCTTAAAACGATTGGGAGGCTGGCGCAGGACAAGGCAGTGTTTCATTCTGCTGTGCATAAGATAGCTATTGTTGTTGTTATGTGCCGTGGAGTTGGTTCCAACTCACAGCGACCCTGTACAGGGTTTCTGAGGCTGTGAATCTTTATAGGAGCAGAAAGTCTCATCTTTCTCCAGAGGAACAGCTGGTAGTTTCGAACTGCTGACCTTCAGTCGAGATTAACTTGAAGGCACCTAACAACAACAATAACAATAGGAGCCCTGGTGAGGCACTGTAGGATAATTACAGGACTGCTAACCACAAGGTCAGCAGTTTAAACCCACCAGTTGCTCCTTGAGGTTTGAAAGATGAGGCTTTCTGCCTCATTAAACAATTAACAGCCTCAGAAACCCTATACAGGGTTGCCATGAGTCAGAAATGACTCCACATCAGTTAGTTTGGTTTTTGTAATTATACAACCATATGAACTAAGTGAGCATATTATTTCACTTTATGTACTAGGCTGCTAACCAAAAGGTCGATCATTTAAACTCATCAGCCACTCAGAGGGAGACAGACCAGGAAAGCTATTTCCATCAAGGTTATTGCTGTGGGTCATGGAGCAGATTCTGACTCAGTTACCCTAAAGGACAGAGCAGAATTGCCTCGCAGGATGATTTCGTAGGCTGAAATCTTCATAGGGGCTGATTGCCAGGTCTATTCTCCTTCAGAAAGACTGGCAGGTTTGAACCATCAACCTTTCAATTAGCAGCCTGCTGTTTCAACCACTGCATTATCAGGCCGACTTCCATAAAACCTGTTGTCACATGTGCTGATGAGCTGATTTCAACTCAGAGCGACTCTGTATAGGGTTTCCGAGGAACAGTTGATGTGTTTGAACTGCCGACCATGAGGTTAGCAGTCTAGTGCTTATCCTACAGCACCACATCAGGACTCCTCCATAAACCTTGTGGAGGATTTTCTACTCAGTCATATAGGGGTGCTTGATTAAAATCAACTTCATGACACTCAACAACAGATAAGGAAAATGAAATTTTGAAGTCTAAGGTTACAGAACAAGTTAAATGAAGACAGGATATAAGTCTGAGTAATGTGACTTGAGAGTCCATCCTCTTCAGCCCTGTCCTGGACCACCTCTTCCTTGCTGCTCTAAGATTACTGTTGTTACTGAGGTTGTTAAGTTGTACTGAAAAACTTACACCAATTACCTTGAAACAAACAAAAAGGCATCCTTAGAATAAAAATTTAAATATCATTTCTAAAAAAATAAGATTTCTTAAATTGAGAAAATTACAAAATATACAGCTGTAATAGATCTCAAAGCTAATCTAATGGTTTTTCCTAGTTTTAGAGAAAAGATTTTAGATGGAACTTATATACATATGGATATGTGGGGGAAGGCCTTCAGAAAGTACGTGGAAAAATTCCACTAGTTTTTTATTCCATTATTCCATAAAACAAGAGTGAGAGAAGCTTGGAATCTCTCCCATCCAAACAGTGTCTCAACCTAGAACTCCAAAAAACACATCTAAAAGCCACTGAACTAATCCAAAACCATCGTTTAGAAGAGGAACACAACACGCAAGCAACTTAAGAAACTTTCCGAAGTTACACTATACTTCAATTTATTTTAACGCTATTTGTGTTGAAATTACATCAGTGATTCTTTGGGAGAAAGGAGATCTCTCAAGAGAAAATACTCAACATTATATTTCCTATTTGGAAACATTTTTTCATAACATTAAACTTAAAAAGAAACATTGTTTCATAACATTCAACACAGAAACATCCTGAGTTATTCTAGTAATCCAGGGGCAAAAACAAATTTTTAAGTTTAAGAAATATGAATTCTACAGCTCTCATATAAACTGATTTGCTTGAATGTACATACCTTCTTTTGTAGTGACATATCCAATGTCAAATCAAGATAAACACCTTGCTTTGGATAAGTGAAGTCCAGAATTTGATATTTCTTAAGTAGGTGGATAGCTTTCTCCACATCATATATCTGTCTTGGGTATAATCTTTTCAAATAGACATCATCTTCAGGCTCACCTTCCATGTAGTGGTATGACTTTATCTTTTCTATCTCATCTTGTTTTTCATCTGATGCTTTTCCTTTGGGATCTTTTTTCGTTTTCTTTTCAGGCCTTAAAAACAAAAACAAAACCCCTCAACAAAAAGACAAATATCCCAAACAAAAACTGAACAGAGAATCTGAACAAACATTTCCGAAAAAGGTACAAAAATGACCAGTTCACACTTGAAATGATGCTCAACATCATTAGTCACTACAAAAATGCAAATGAAAACTACAATGAGATAACACTTCATACCACTAAGATGCTGTTGTTGTTAAGTCCCAACCCATAGCAACCTTGCATAGGGTACCTGAAGAGCAACTGGTGAGCTTGAACCATCGACCTTCAGGTTCAAACCAACTTTACAGTGCAACGCATTAATGCACAATGCCCTACCAGGACAACTATTAACAAAACAAAACAAAAAATAACATGCGTTGGTGAGATTGTAGAGAAATTGCAAATTCTGATGGGACTGTAAAATGATACATTGTGGAGAATAGTTTGATAGCTTTTTCAAAAATTTAAACACAGACTTACCAATTGACCCAGCAACTTCACTCCTAGGAATATATATAAAAATTATGAAAACAGGAACTTAAAGAATTCATTGTATATCAATGTGCATTGCTACATTATTCACAATAGCCAATAGGTGGAAACAATCCAAGGGTCCATCAATAGATAAGTCAATAAACAAAAAGTGATAACAGACATACAATATGTATGAGTATTATTAGGACACAAAGGGCTATGCCACACTGATATATGCTACCACATGGATAAACCATGAAAACACTATGCTGAATAAAAGAACAATATTATATGATCCCACTTACAAGAAGTATACAGAACAAGCAAATGCACAGACAAAAGTAATTAGTGGTTGCCAAGAACAACTAGTAATGATTATTAATTATTGACCATTACTGGTGATTGGAATGCAAAGGTTGGAAACAAAGAGGAAGGATCAGCAATTGGAAAATATGACCTCGGTGATAGAAATGATGCTGGAGATCACATGATAGAATTTTGCAAAACCAATAATTTGTTCATTTCAAATATCTTCTTTAGACAGCATAACAGACAATTAAACATATGGACCTCAGAAGATAAAATACACAGAAATCAAACTGACTACATATGTGGAAAGAGTGGAAAAGCCCCATATCATCAGCCAAAACAAGGCCAGGGGCAGATTGTGGACCATCAATTGCGCATATGCAAATTCCTATTACCGAAGACCAACAGAACTGTGGGATGACATCAAAAACAACATACAGGAAGAAAGTGCAAAGTCACTAAGAAGACAAGAAAGAAGGAAAAGGCCAAAAGGGATGTCAGAAGAGACACTGAAACTTGCTCTCAAGCATAGAGACGCTAAAGCAAATGGAAGAATTGAGGTACAAGAGCTGAAAAGAAAATTTCAAAGGTCAGCTTGAGAAGACAAAGTCAAATACTACAATAAAATGTGTAAAGGTCTGGAGTAAGAAAACCAAAAGGGGAGAAAAAGTTCAGCATTTCTTAAGCTGGGGGAACTGAAGAAATAATTCAAGCCTCGACTTCTATTATTAAAGGATTCTCTGGGCAAATTACTATGCAGAAAGCATCAAAAGAAGATAGAGAGAATACACAGAATCACTATACTAAAAGGAAATAATTGATGTTCAACCATAACAAGAGGTAGCATATAATCAAGAGCCAATGACACGGAAGGAAAAAGTCCAAGAAACATTGAAGGAATTGGCAAAGAACAAGGCACCAGGAATTGGAATTGATGGAATAAAAAGTCAAAACTTTCAAGAAAGTGAGGTGGCACAGGAGGCACTCACTCATCTCTGCCAAGAAATTTGGAAGACAACTATCTGACCGACTGATTAGAAAAGATCTGTATTTGTGCCCATTCCAAAGAGAGGTGACCCTCGGAATACGGATATCATCGGACAATATCTTTGATATCCCATGCGAGTAAAGTTTTACTCAAGGTAATATAGAAACGGCTGCAAGCATACATTGACAGAGGTTCAAGCCAGATACAGAAGAGGACATGAAATGAACAATATCATTGCTGACATCAGATGGATCTTGACTGAAAGCATAGAATACCAGAAAGATGTTTACCTGTGCTTTACTGACTACGCAAAGGCTTTCAATTGTGTGGATCATGAAAAGTTATAGACAACATTGTGAAGTATGAGTATTCTGGAACACTTAATCGTGCTCATGAGGAATATGTACATGGACCAAGAGGCAGTTGTTTGAATAGAACAAGGCAACACTGAATGGTTTAAAATTAAGAAAGGTGTGCGACAGGGCTGTAGTCTTTCACCATACTTATTCAAAGTGTATGCTGAGGAAATAATCCAAGAAGCTGGGTTATATGAAGAAAAACGTGGCATCAGGATTGGAGGAAGACTGATTAACAACCTGAGATATGCAGATGATACAACCTTGCTTGTTGACTGTGAAGAGGACTTAAAATACTTACTGATGAAGATCAAAGAGCACAGCCTTCAGCATGGATTGCATCTCAATGTAAAGAAAACAAAAATCCTCTCCACTGGACCAATAAACAACATTCTTATCAACGGAGAAAAGATTGGAATTGTCAAGGAGTTCATTCTTCTTGGATCAACCATCAACACTCAAGAAATCAAACAATATATTGCATTAGGCAAATCTGCTGCACAAGACCTTTTTAAAGTGTTGAAGAGCAAAGATGTCAGCTTGAGGACTAAGGTGTGCCTGACCCGAGTCATGATATTTTCAGTAACCTCATAATCATGAGAAAGGTGGACAGTGAATAAGGAAGACCATATAAGAATTGATGCTTTTCTTGTAAGTCCGTCTTCTGCCTATAACTGGAATACCTAAAATGGGGCTACAACGTGCCCAGTGAAGGAGGCTTCCTGCAGAGCCTCTGCAATACATAAGAGTAGCATAGTGGTTACGAATCGGGCTGCGAACCTTAAGGTCAGC